AGAAAATAAGCAACTCTTTCAGGGGGCTGGGTGTACAGCTTTTCAACAAGATCCCACAAAACGTTCAACTACTACCTGTTCATAGATTTAAGAAAACTGTCAAGGAACGTTTGTGCAACAAGGCATATTATAAAGTTAAGGATTTTTTACTAGATGGCACTACGTGGGAATGAGGCGTTCGCTCCTGGCCTTTTCATTTATTATTATTATTATTTATTTGAATTGTATTTTTTTGACTTGTTTTTTCGTATAATGTAAATATGTTTTCTTATTTAAAAAAAGAAGAAGAAAATATTTGATAAAATCCAAAAAAAAAAAGCCCGCTGAGTTTGTTTCGCCGGTTCTTCTCAGGACTGTGGCTTTTTTTGGAACCGGTGGTAGAGTTAACATTTTCTTTTACATTTTGACATTCAACAAGTGTGTTTTTGATGACATCCAAGTTGAAATAAATGATTTTGAATTTGAAGTTTTACTAGTAAGTATCAGTTCTGGTGTTAAAGAGTTGAACTCATGTATGTAACGTGTCATCAAAACAGTAGCGCGGTGACCCTCAGACACAGCCCACTGAGTTTCTCGCCGGATCTTCTCAGTGGGTCGCGTTTCCGGTCCGGTGGTAGATTCTGCGAAGCACGGCTCTTGCTAGGGTTCGTGTTAGCAACGTCGTCAGGTTTGAGCCCCGTGAGCTCACCTACTAGATAAGGTTCCGCTGATATAGCCTCTCAAGGCACTCAGCTTAGGTAAAAAAAAAAGCTCGGGTGAGATTTAGGTAACAAAGTAATTTCCGCTCCTACTATTGGAGGAAAATAAATGTCCACATTGAGAGACTTCTATTCACACTCATACAGAATTCTATTCTGTGTTAATAAAGATACTGCGTAACGAACTATGAGAAATGAAAATATCAATTTGAATTACAGTGTGAGGCTTACGTCACTCAAATATCCAATTGTTTTTTTTTTAAATTCCAAATCTGAAAATCGCTTTAATGTAGTCTGTGTGGTTTACTGGTGGTAGGACCTCTTGAGAATCCTCACGGGTAGGTATCACCACCCTGCCTATTTCTGCCGTGAAGCAGTAACTATACCTGAGACCTTAGAACATATATCTCAAGGTGGGTGGCGCATTTACGTTTTAGATGTCCATGGGCTTCAGTAACCACTTAACACCAGGCGGGCTGTGAGCTCGTCCATCCATCTAAGCAATAAATAAATAAAGTTAAAAAAAATTTGAATCTTCATATAGGTACAGATATTGTTCTATCTTTTGTACATACATCAACGTCTCACCCATTTCCTTGCTCCATTACACTACTAATCGTATGAGATTCCAGGCTGATGGAGCTAATTAATAGCTTACACAGCGTCCCTTCAAGATTGTCCCAAATGTTTCGGAGAATTAATTTAAAGGATGATCCACACAAGCATTTGACATAATATCAAAACACATTAATTAATTTACAAGCTACGTTACGGCATTCAGATTTTAGTTTCCAGTTTTGATTGATAAATGGTCATTGTTCGTGAGTTTTGTTTAACACGTTACGTATTTTAAATGCGAAAACAGGAAAAAATGAAAAATGAAGTTGTTGTTTAAATAGTTTTTCTTCACCATAAGCCGCACTGTTTGTCCGTGAATATTACTTGACTATTACTTATGAATGAAATATTACTTATGACTTTTATGACCTCACGATAAACTTATTGTAAATTAATAATGCAAATAAATTATAAATTGTCAACATAACATTTTCAATGTGAAACTTTAAAATAAATATTTGGTAGGTACATAACATCAAAAATGTAAAATTTTGATCTATCCAGAAAAATAGAGGATCTGGAAAATAGCTGTTTCATTTTAACTTTATCCCCAGCTACATAGTCTTAATATTTTTCTTCTATCTTAATTCTATGAAAATAAATAATTCTGTTCTAAATTATATTAGAGGACAAACACTAACTTCCCAAACATATTTTTATTCAAGCGCCATCTATGGAATTAGGTCGGTACTTATTTATCTGGTTTAAAACATGGTTTTAGTAGGTAGGTATCATTATTATGGTAAAACTGAAAATTTTCAAGAAACCATTTAATCCATACTATAGAATTAATGTACTAAGAAACGTAGTGGGCGATGAAGTTTCATCTAAATCTGCCAGATGTCACTTTTAATAACTTTTGGAATATCAAAAGTCAACTTTTATCTTCAGATATACACAGTGAAATAGATTTTTAGGTATAATAAAAACGCAATAAAATAGTAGAAAATTACTACTTCAGTTCTTTGTTTCTGAGGTTTTGCTTTGGCTATTTTTGAGGTACATTCGTATAGCGAGATGCTGTTGATAAGCTTTGAAGTTCCGTTTTGTCGATAGATATGATAAGCAACGTGCTTGGGTACCACTTATCTCATCATTTTTACAACGAAGTGGCATGCGTTCTGATCTGAAGAGAAGCTGAGTCTACTGATATTATTATGACTAAGTCTCTAATGTTCATGTTGTCTTAATTAAGGACTCTAGAAATAATCAAGACAGTTTGTCACCTCAACTTAGTTAAACAATAAAATGTACCCAAGCTTAAGAAGTTCTCGTTAAAGAAAGGCTAAGCGACTTTCAGACATCTATTTTTTTCTCCCTACCTAATCGCTAGTGGCCTAAGGGGGCTATTCTAGCTACACGCGGCTTAATAAGTGAGCTCACGGAGTTCCACTCAAGAGGACTTCCTAGCACTAGCCCTAACAAGAGCAGTGCTTCGCTGAAACTACCACCGGATCGGAATCGCGACCCCCTAAGATGATCGCGCGAGGAGCTCTGCAAATGATCGAAATGATAAAATAAATTTAATTAAATTAATTATTATTTTAACTGCGGTCACAAGCTAAGCTACTAATATACTTCGAAATCAAAATGATAATGACCTTGCAGTCTGAAACTTAAGTCGAATAATCGCAAAGACGAATACACAGTATCGCAATGGGCTCAAATTCATTCATATGGAATTCACCTTCATCCATTGAGCGCCGACCTTCTACCGGCTCGGCGTCATATTGATATCCGTAACGAGCATGCGCCCGGCAAATTAGAAATTACGCTTGCGCACTATCGCACTCCGGTTGTTGTGTACATAGCGGTTTTCTGTATTTCTAAATCTATCAAATATTCCAAATATATCTTACGTTTCTCTTAGTCTCACGTAATTTTAACTAAAAACACCGATCGCCTTCGTTCCATCAATATTGTTTTATTGCTCGTGTATACGATGATTCATTAATACGTGAAGTTCGTATACTTTCATAGCACCGAATTTGCAATTGTTTAGACTAGCATTGAGAAGATAATTTGTATAGAAGAGCCACATCAATAGGTGAGCAAAAAGAAACTATTTATTATGGTTATATGATAGCGGTTGTATCTGTAGACATGCAATCGAGACGTAGGCGTTTACTCCAGACAGATACGTGGGCGTATCATCTGGCTTGTCATAGTCTGGCCGTTTGTAAAATTATGTGTTCGATAGTGTCGATTTAAGAAGTCGTAATTACAAAACAAAATTCAGGTTTCTGTTTGTATTATTCTAAGTTTATTTCTGAGTAGCTTCAGACGTAGTGAGAGTTTTGCGCGTTCATACTCTCGTGCCCTTGAAAAGCATTGGGTCTTATTTAAGAGCTGTGTAGCGTTAGTTATACCGAAGTATTGTTCATGGGAAAAAAAAGACCAAAGACCAATTTATCAATCGTCAAGAAAATTTTATTCATAAAAGAAATTATAACCTAACTTAACTTATAAGTGAAACATTTGATTTAAATATTAGTTATTAGTAAAATTTTCTTTTATACATTTAATATATTTACGACAGACATTAGATACTTTTATATTTTCATATAAGACATTTCTTGAACACATCATTTATGATATTTTATGTGTAATTCAAAACTAAAAATCAGTCTACATGATAAAAAGCAATTATTTACAGTCCAAACAATAAGAAAGTTTCATAACTATGTTTTTTTTTTTTAGAAAAACCGCTATCAAAATTGAACTCAATTAGACCAATATTTAATTGAATTTAAGGACGCTCCGTTCTATAAAGTTTTTTAATTGAAATAAATTACATTAAAAATCGGAAACACAAAATTAAGTTAATCGAATATGTGTATCGAAATAATGTTCGTAATTTTGTAAAGTGCAGCTCTATAATTTTTGGGAGCTATCTCTAGTTCTTTATCGTTCACATAAAATCAATATTGACCATCGAATGTGTTGCCAAGTGACGTGTCAGTATCCACGCCACGTCCCACATTCGCAACCGAATTCGCACGTGCTAGTGGAAATTGACTCATTATAAGTAATGTTTGAAGATTGGAAATTGCATTTGCAAATTTATATTTTAAATTATATTTTTAAGAGATATGTCCTGCAAGTAATGTTGACAATACTTTATTGTTCTGATAGACAAACGGTCTAAGGTGTATATGGTTCGACTTCTGCGAGTGCACCATATCGCAGAAGGAGGCGGGGGGACGCGTGAGAGACGCACAGGCCCGCCGCCGTCGAGCGGGGGCCAGGAAGGCGAATCTCGCCCAAGCCCTGGCCCTCTAAGTGTTTCGGGTCCCCCTCACATGTCGGTCTGGGGACCGGCGAGCGGGGGCTAAGGAGACGACGTGCAAGCTGTTCTGCACTCGTTTTACGCAAGAGCATCCGGGTGATGGAAGGTCGGCTATCCTCGACCCACGCTAGTTCTGACTCAGCAGGATATTCGGTAGGATAACCCACTTTAACCGGCGTTATCTAGGCGGGTTTCGGATAGCCTGCCCACCGGGGAGGGTAAGGATGTGTTCCGCACTAAACACTTCACCTTCCCCCCTTTGCCTTTTCATGAGTTCTGTCTCATGCGAGGTTCGGATGCGGGTTGTTGAGCGACAGGAGGTTTTAGTCAGTTCAACTCCGAAATGCCGTCGGACTACACTGGGAATGGAGGACGGAAGTCCGGCGATTTCCACCTGACAAAAAAAATATGTATATAGTGGATACCCCACATCGTGTTACCTTGAGACATGACTTATAAGTTTCAATTGAATAATGAAACAGCTCGATCATCAATGTCATGCTGTTTACGAAAAACAAAACCACAGCATGAATATCATTGCCCTAGTTCAAGGAAATACGTAAAGGTTTTTCTAATTGGACAGATTGGTGACGACGAGCTCACCTAGTAAATAATGATCACCAGAGCCTGCAGAAATCACACCGTACTATTGAAACATGTGATGGCAGTCTCAATTATATTATATAACGGCTGCCCCACCCTTTAAATCGGAACGCATAAGTATTTTACGGCAGAAACGGTTAGGGTAGTAGTGTCTATCAGTGCGGACCACATTACGCCCAATCAATAGTTCTTACGCAAACTTAAAAAAAAATCTGTTTGATTTTGTTACAAAATATTCCTTCATCAATTTTTATTACGCCAAAGGTATTTCGTGTACCTACTGTCTCCTTTCAGGTTTTCTTCAATAAAAAACATTTCAAAACAAAACAAAAGCCTCGATACAATGGCATCGCGGACAAAGTTCGCTCTAAGGATTGATCTTGTGATAACACGATGGCGGGCCTCGTGCTGTTCCCTTCTCGAATCAACAGATTCCGAATCGCTTTTATTTGTAGCGATATGGTTGTCAAGGTTTAGTTAGTTAGTTAAAGTGTGAGGATGAGCAGATCTTAAATATGTTATAAGTATATAATATGTTAATGTTAATTAAATATCGTTGAAGTTGTCGTGGCTTAAAGGATAAGACGACGCCGGTGCATTCGTGTTGGGCGATGCACCGGCGTTCGAATCCCAGGTGGGTACCAATTTTTCTAATGAAATACGTGCTCAACAAATGTTCACGATTGACTTCCACGGTGAAGGAATAACATCGCGTAATAAAAAACAAACCCGCAAAATTATAATTTGCGTCATTACTAGTGGTAGGACCTCTTGTGAGTCCGCAGGGGCAGGTACCACCACCTTGCCTATTTCTGCCGTGAAGGAGTAAGGCCTTTCGGTTTGAATGGTAGGGCAGCCGTTGTAACTATACTTGAGACCTTAGAACTTATATCTCAAGGTGGGTGGCGCATTTACGTTGTAGATATCTATGGGCTCGAGTAACCATTTAACACCAGGTGGGCTGTAAGCTCGTCCACCCATATAAGCAATAAAAATAAAATATGTTATATTATATGTTAATTAAATTTGTTATAATATATAATGTTATAAGTATTCACACGCGTATAATTCTACTGTGGGCATTAAGTAACCACCAATAACCCATAAAGATTCATTCGCGAATGATCTGCCCTTGAGTTGTTAGGTCTCCTTCGGAGGCGCACGGGCAACTGTTAGCACAAATCCAAGAAGGGATGCCTCATAGCTGAGCCTGTGCTGGCCCATCTGTCCTGGTGAAACTGAAAAGCCCTTCGGGACTTCGTTGGGAATAATAATAAAATAATAATCGCGAAATTAAATCGTAAAAGTAATTGAGATAAAATTTATTTGAATAGCTGTCTTAAAAGAAGACTTGAGACGTTTAGTTCTTTGAAACGAAATACTATATATTATTATATTTAATTGAACAACTTTGTTTTTAAAAAAGTATAGAAAAATAGTAACGCCTAAATATCTAAACATAATAGTTATTGTTATTACGTAGACGTTTATAAAAATTGTGTCTAAAGTAGCATAAACAAACTTATCGAAAATCGATTGCCAGGCAAGCTGTCTTTCGTTTGGCATGGGCGATTTCTTTCTCTTCACCTCCGACAGAGAGAAGCTGAAAAGAAAATGTTTGATTCGCGCCAATGAATTTGGAACAATTCAAAAGAGATTTTACCAATTCAAAATATTGAGAATCATTCTCATGTACTGAAGTTACATATTTATTTTTCATATAAAATATTGGATTGCTATGTTTCATGTTTTCTCTGGTTTTTTTTTTATATGGTAATATAAAGATTTTCCACAAAACGGTCGAAGCTGGGCTATTTATCTGTGTTGTACCCATAATAGACAGGAATGAGTAAAACCCAGGATCAATTATGTAGGTACCAAATACTCCAGTCCACGGTACAGTAGCTTTTCGAAAAAAAAATCTATAAATTTGAGATCAGTAGTATTTTTATTTTGGAGCTCGCATATCTTGATTTTTATCTATGCGTCGATTACACCAAAGTCAAGCAAGGCATATTACAATTACTTTGTTGAGTCTCCCACCTTATACAGCCACGAGGAAAAGTATTAGGCACCCGAGCAAAATTATCTTAAGTCGGACGACGGCGTGCACATAGCAACACGTGCTACGTGGTCGATGCCTCGTCAATGCTCTCATTAGCAGTGAGGCACTTTGACTATTGACTATTGACTATTGATTAATTGATTATAATAATCTATATATTAATACGTGAAGCGAAAACTTTGTATCCCTTTTTACGAAAATTGCGCGGACGGAGGAGTATGAAATTTTCCACACTTATAGAGAATATAGAGAAGAAGTGCACAATGCTAATTTTTTTAAAAAATAATGCATAAATGATACATTAAATCAATAAAGAAAGCATTAGACACACTACATACCATGTATTTGACGCACACACGCATGCATACTATTTATTGTCAAACTTTTATTCTTGACGTCTGTTGTCAAATTGAGATTAAATATTGTTTGTCTTTGTTAATATTTTTTATAGAGTAGTCTTGGCGAAATTTGTGATTATAGAAGTATAAAATACAATCGTAGTAGTGTACAAACTTACAATATCAATTAATTATAGTCGAATTTCGACTACTGCGGGACCTTTAGTAATAATAAATATTTACTAACAATCACGCCACGTTAACTGGTCCCGTGGTAAGTTCGTAAAGAACTTGTGTTACAGGTACCAGATAACGGAAATAAATGTAATATTTTTATTATACACATAAATATATTTAATATACATCCTTAACCCGGGAAAAGACATTTTTGTATTTATCATACGAATATCCTCCCTTGGCGGGATTCGAACCCGCGACCCCCTTGTGTAGTGACCATGTCACTTACCACTACACCAGACGGCCGTTAAACTGACTATTGAATTAAAAAAGGCAATCTCAGCCACTGTTACTAGAAACTTATTATGAAACATCTCTACCATTTTACCTGCTGGCTTTTATTTATTTTCCTCTAGCTACTTGCATGGATTACACGTCAATATATAAATGAAACTATATAGTTTTAAAATATTATCTAGGCCTTAGTTAAAACGTTTCGAAAAACAGTGAAATTTCGATTTGATGACCAAACGCTAAAACCACATAATATTATGTATAATTTAAATAAATATAATTTCAATTTCATTAATGCGCTTATTCTCTCTAGACTTGTACCGCATCCCATTTTCAGCGAGGACTTTCGGAACGACGGCACTTTCATTTCCTATTTCGTGACAGTCGTCGTTCGGGAGTCGGTAGGGTCGGACGTCGCTTCGGAACTAAATTAACTTTTTTTTCTCTATTTAACATTTTTTAATAACATAATAAAAAGATAATAAATACATCATGGACATCACTATTACGAGACATTTTAGTTTGGACGAAGTGAGTATATTTATTTTAGTCGTAGTAATATACATATAGGCTAATTTTTAATTACCACGTTCGTAATTACAGTAGCAGGATAACAATAATGCGTTTGAGAAATGTACCAATCAACTTTAGCAACTGATTTTGTTAACTATACATTCTTTTGCTTAATATTTTTTGTTCATTACGCTCTTGCTAATTTTTAATGTTAATTCTTTTCTAAATCTAAAATCTCCTTAAAACTTTTTCTCCTTCATCTTTTTTTTTGTTTTTTATTGTTAAGTTGGGTGGACAAGCTCACAACCCGCCTGGTGTTAAGTGGTCACCGGAGCCCATGGACTACGTCTCACTAAGTCTAGGCCTCAGTTTTTACAGTACAACGGTTGTCCTACCCTTCAAAAGCAAACGCTTTACTGTTTCACGCCAGAAATAGGCAGATTGGTGGTACCTACCCGTTTGGGCTCACAAGACGTCCTACCACCATTAATGTAAATTCTTCTATGTATTTCCCCGTATTTCAACCTCGGTCTATGCGCATCCAATTCTAGCACACAGCTCTGAGTAAATCATAATTTCATCTCACATTCAAAAACTTAAGATAACTTAATTTATATTGTAGACCACTAAACATGCTATGATCCTTAAATCAATTTCACGTCACAGCGATTTATATCTAACTAATTGAATCTTCGAAACCGTCGTCAAGGAATCCGAATGTTTGAAAGATCAGTGATCCGTACATATTGGATATTGCAAGACGGTTTACTTAGATTATTCAAACAATGTTTAGAAGTCACATTTTGTCTTTGATCCATGTGATTTAATTAAAAACTTTGTTCGACTTTATTAATTTTTTTTTTTTTATTGCTTGGATGTGTGGACGAGCTCACAGCCCACCTGGTGTTAAGTGGTCACTGGAGCCCATAGACATCTACAACGTAAATGCGCCACACACCTTGAGATAAGTTCTAAGGTCTCAGTATAGTTACAACAGCTGCCCCACCCTTCAAACCGAAACGCATTACTGCTTCACGGCAGAAATAGGCGGGGCGGTGGTACCTACCCGTGCGGACTTTGGATAGATAGTTTAAAAACATTTATTTCGCGTCTCAAGGAATACAGTTAATGACATTTATACTGTGCTATTTCTCGTCAGTAAAATAGGACATAAATCGGCGTTTGGTCTGTCTAGATTACAGGTAGTTTTAATAAAATATCTACGTGATTAAGAAATTGAAAACTAGGTAGTTCTTTTACTCGTAATATTTATAAATTAACAGTTAGCTGCACTGGCAGAGTTCATAGTATTGCTAATCTCAATATCGTATATGAAAATTATGGTAATAGTTTCAAATTAATCTTTGTCGTAAGCGAACGCTTAATAAAATTCCATTACTGAATTTACCACCGTACATAAAATTCACGAGTGAAGCAATAAAAATATTACGCACATAATATCCTTGAGCTTTCAATTTGAGGACCAATAAAATTCCGAGAGCGGAGCTTCGAACCCCAGCTTTTCCGTGTCATTCGCATAATGATAGGAAAAATCTAGTATTACATAGCACATTTGTCATCTTCGAAAAAATAAAATAAAAGAACCTTTTAAGATATCATATTGAGGTGTCGTATTAAACATTTTTTAGGATACTAATAATTTGATTGTAAGTTGTAAAAGGGTTATGATATTATGTATAAATAAATAATAGTTTAAAAGAACTAACAAAATACGCTTTTATAGAAAATCCAACTAAAAAATAGAAAATAAATTTTAATAAGTTTGAATTAAAAATAGTGTAAGATAAAATGATTTTATTGTAAAAAAGCGTGGGGTGCTTTTCAAAATAACCCAGAAGGGTTATTTTGATAATAACCCAGAAGGGTTATTTTGATAATATCCTGAGTAGAAACTCATAGGTATCTGTTCATAAAATATTTATAACTACTGATACCATGCATCCCACGCTTTTTTTATGTTCAAAGATTCCGTTACAAACATACATACGTCTGAAGCTAATAAAAATGTATTAAAAACTAAATTTTGAGTACTTACTTAACTACTGAATTTCTTTGTATATCATACTTATTCGAAATTAATACCAGACTACAATAATAACCACTACTAGTACTACCAATAATAATAGCCGTAGTGAATTTGTGGTCTGCTTACAATAATTAATTGAAACTTGTGATTAATAATTGTTTATTAGGTGTACACAGATAATTTTTATGTATAGAGCAAGATACCAATCCTGAAAATCAATTATTGGTTTTGAAATGAACTGAAAGCTTACAATTTGCACATTTTTTTAAGTAAATTGAAATGCGATGTATTTTTACTTTGTAAACGCAATATTGGGATTGTACAAACTTAATTATCATTTTTTTTAATACAGAACAACAGGTCACCTGTGTCCGTTCAACTCGGAATAATTAACAATAAAAGCATTTCCATTTACGAACGCGTTCATGACCGACCTTTTATATGAAATTGATGGAAAATAATTGATGGAGTATTAATAAACTGTAGTAAATGTATTTTGGACAATTAATCGAAAAACTTTTATTGTGACAGAGCCACGGAAGACCTGAGCTACATAAGAACTTCGAAGTAAAAAATATTAGACGTATTTTGATTCCAAATTAATATTGTTACACGCTGGGGCTCGTGATAAATAAATGTTCCACCGAAGTACCTACAACTTAGAACTGTATTTATCTGTATCTTAGAACACAGACAGAACACTTTAAAATTCTCAATTCACAATCTCACAAATTCCGACGGGTAACCCACAATCTAGAATGTCGCTTTCCTGATTGAGATATGTGGCTGAAGTCAGAGGGAAGTCAATAATGAATGATTTTTTATCAATTTCTGAGCTGTGAATGTTTCATGATAGATTTTTATAAGTTTGTAATTGTAAATCCAAAAATTGGATATATCAATGGATATATTCAAATTTAAATAAGCTAAGGGCTAGATCGCACTAGTACAACAATAATTTATAATTTCTTTTTCTATATATTCAGTCGTCAATGAGAAGTGGGGCGTTAGCGGCTATGGAGGCGCAGCCTGACCTCAGCACCTTCGAGAACAAGAGCGGGCTGGCGGAGGACATGAAGTTCCTGGCGTCGATGCCTGAGCTCTGTGACGTCACCTTCCTGGTGGGAGACACCAGGGAGCCCGTTTGTGCTGTGAAAGCGGTCCTGGCGGCAAGGAGCAGGTAATCTACAAAATATCATATCTTATTTTCAAATATATCCTTTTTTTTATTGCTTAGATGAGTGATTGAGCTCACAGCCCACCTGGTACATAAACGCGCCACGCACCTTGAGATATAAGTTCTAAGGTCTCAGTATAGTTACAACGGCTGCCCCACCCTTCAAACCGAAACGCATTACTCCTTCACGGCTGAAATAGGCAGGGAGGTGGTACCTACCCGTGCGGACCCACAAGAGGTCCTACCACTAGTAAAGATCCTTTTACTGTTTTAAAACAGTTTTTTTTTCTACCTAAGCTGATGGTCTAGGGAGACCATGTCAGCGTCGCCGGGCTAGTAGGTGAGCTCACGGGGCTCAAACCTGACAATGTTGCTAACACGAACCCTAGCAAGAGCCGTGCTTCGCAGAATCTACCACCGGATCAGAAACACGACCCACTGAGAAAGTCCGGTGAGAAACTCAGTAGGCTGTGTCTTTGGGTCAATTTACTCGCCGAGCCCTTCGTCGTAAGCGAGGGGTTCGACGAAAACGATGACCAGGAAATATCCGGCCAGTTTTTACGTAGATACGGTTTGCTACTGTTCCCATTGGTTATGTATTATTTAAAGTGTTTGGTTGGCTATTATGATTTTAAATATAATTATCCTTTCAATTTTCACTTCAAAGACGTCCTCTTGCCGATAAAAACATTTTCATATTCGTTAAAAATCAGCCTTTATATACAAGTATTACTGAAGCAAACGTTTACTTTAACAGAAAAGAATACTTTTAGCGCAAAACAGAAAATACCTTTTACCCGAAAAAGGGTGTTGAAAATTGTTTGTAAAACAAAGAGCTGTGAAGCATTCCTTTGTAAAGACCGATGTTAGCGGGAGTCGCAAGAATCTATTTGTCTTGTAGGTTGAAGATAGAGTAAACATTGCGATTTCCAAAGTACGTTTTGATAAAGCACTAATGTTATTCATTTGTGGGCACTGACTTACGTGAGCATTTAACGTGAATAAATAACAAATATTGTAGGTTTTTATTCTTATTGTTAAAGTATCCAGACTGCCCATCGAATAAAAAAAATATATATTTTTTAATCCTACCTAAGCTGATAGCCTTGAGAGGCTACTTCAGCGTAACCTTAACTAGTAGGTGAGCTCACGGGGCTCAAACCGGAGTGATGCTAACACTGACCCTAGCAAGAGCAGTGCTTCGCAGAATCTACCACCGGATCGGAAACGCGACCCACTGAGAAGATCCGGCGAGAAACTCAGTGGGCTGAAAGAGTATTGCTCTCGCTCATCGACTTTGAAATGTTTCAGGAAGCAAATTAGCCCCTTTTTATAACTGCAAGATTAATAAAATTTACTAAAAAATATTTTTAAGAATATCTAATGGATTGAACTTTAAATTTTATCTTTAGAGTCTTCCAAAAAATGCTATATCAAGCTCCAAGTCCTCAGAGAAAGAAGGAACCAGGACCAAGAGAGAACAAGCTAAGATTATTCTTGAAACGTTCCTCGGAGCCTCTTCTGAATCTACAAAATGCAGCACAGCAGGTAAGATGAAAATTTTCAAAACGAATAAACACTGTATGCTAGGAATGCAACTGTCCTTCATCTTGATAATGTGTGAATGATGAATTTGTTTATACCAATAGCCTATACCAAACCTACCATTATCATTGAACGGATTCGATAATATATTACCTCGCACTATCCCGTAAACTTCTTCAATTAAATAACAAAAGATTCGAACCTTTAGAATCAAAACCATCTGATTACAATCTATTAGAACCAGTTCTCGTGTTATCAACATGTCTGGATAATATATTTCAAACTTCGAACGATAGAAAGATAAAATTTTCTTTTTTTTTTGAAGCTATTTTGAAGCTGTGGTCACTTTTTATCAAAAAAAAGCTAGACAGTTACAAAATTTCACTCAAACAAATGAGCTCTCATTAAAACATCAGACACTTATTCTATTGAATAACGAAAGTTTCGAACCTTTAGAACCAAAACCAGCTGATTACAATCCAATAGAACCACTGTTCGTGTTGTCAACGTGTCTGGATAGTATATTTCAAACTTCGAATGAATGATAGAATTTCCTTTCTTTTTTTTGAAGCTATTTTGAAGCTGTGGTCACTTTTTATCAAAACAAAGCTAGACAGTTACAAAATTTCACTCAAACAAATGAGCTCTCATTAAAACATCAGAAACTTATTCTATTGAATAACGAAAGATTCGAACCTTTAGAACGAAACCCAGCTGATTACAATCCAATAGAACCACTGTTCGTGTTGTCAATATGTCTGGATAATATATTTTAAACTTCGAATGAATGATAGAATTTCCTGTTTTTTTTTTTGAAGCTATGGTTACTTTTTATCAAAACAAAGCTAGACAGTTGCAAAATTTCACTCAAACGAATGCGCTCTCATTAAAACATCGGAAACGTTCACATTCAAAAGGAGAATAAGTTTAACAACTAAGGGGTTCGGTGTAAATGGAAAACATTTTTATTTTGGAAAATGTTAACGCGTTTTTACTATGTTTAATGCAGAGATCAAGTTTCGCGCAGCAATTGGCACCTATACAAGAGGTAAAAACTAAATTATCGACGTCTAAAGGCACTTGTCTCGTTGGTTTCAACTGTCAGCGTTCAAAGTTTTATAAATATTACACTTTTCTAATACTCATAATTAATATACTTCTGCGTGTTTGTAGATGCGTTGTTTTCCTTCATTCGAAAAAGTTGGTTCATTTTTTTTGTAACTTTATATACATATATATTGCATGTTTGTTCCTATACAGACCTGTAAATTTATTTTTCGAAAAATTGGAATTTTTATAACTATTACTTTTCTCCTTCATATCTTGTATAAACTCTGTTTCATTAATGTACATATTATTTATACATAAAATTGTTATTGTAGCCTCGTTAAGCATGTATTTGTGTTTAAGCCTGTATTCGTTTTTTGTTCACGAGCTTAGAGAATTCTTTATTACGAAATTACCATAATTGGTTTTCCGAGTTTATTCGGCAATCTCTGAGAGTAAACGAGACATCGATCGCTCATTGAATATATTTAAATAAATATGCGAACAGGTTCTTTTCAAATTTTCTGTCGTTGCGGATAATATTACATTAAATATTTTGTGATTGAACATTTAAGATGTTTTAAAATAAATTCTTGTTCATTTTTTAAATATTTTTGTATAGTTCACTCTAAGCAATCTAATAAGCCTTTGAGCATTTAAGATATTTTGAAGATACTTTTCCTTTTTTTATGTTTTTATGTAGTACACCCAAAAAATTCTATAAGCCTTTGAACATTTAAAATGTTTTCACCGAAAGTCTCGTATTTTTTTTTCTAAATATTTTATATTTAAATTTTTGTGCTTTTTCAAGCCTTCTGCTCAGCAACATCAGACCTTAATAATCGAAGAATTTGAACCGGACGTTTTTCGTCAACTAATCGAGTATATCCATACCGGATGTGTTACTCTTCAACCAAGAACTCTTCTGGGTAAGTGATTTTCTTTGTTTTATTTATAAATCAATGGATGGAATAATTTTTCAAATTAATTTCAATTCAATTTCAAGCATTTTACTACATTTTCCAAGGTTTTACCTTTATTCAAAATAAACCTTATCAGAATGGATTCTGTCAATTTATTCACTGTTGAATGACTAGAGAGATTTTTTTTTTTAAAACGATCAAACAAAGAAATAAATTGTAAGTGAATACTCTAGTTAGATGTATATAGATTACTAAGTAACTTTCAAATTAAATTTCTTGTGAAATCGAAAGCGTTTTATCCAATTTTTATCATTAATCGCCCACCATTTTGCGACATAAATTCTATGTTTCATTTGTATATAATATTATTATAATTGTAAAATATAAAATATTCCAATGCTATTGGAACTTTGACCATAACATGTCAATTAGACGAGGATGTTCACCGCTTGGCATCTATGGTTTTCAGCCCTTTGCCATTTAGCCTACGTATGCTACGGTAAAAATAAATAATAGTTTAAAAAAACTAAAAAAATACACTTTTATAGAAAATCCAACTGAAAAATAGAAAATAAATTTGAATTAAAAATAGTGTAAGAAAAAATGATTTTATTGTAGAAAAAGGGTGGGGTGCTTTTCAGGATATTATCAAAATAACCCTTCTACTCATATCTGTTCATAAAATATTGATAACTACTGATACCATGTACCCCACGCTTTTTTTAAAATAAAATAATTTTTTTTACACTTTTTTAAGGATTTGATTTTTTTTTAAGTATTGAATTGTCATCGGTCCTTAATAAGTATACCAAATTTCGAGTTAATCCGATGTTTTGAAGGGGGTCAAAATCATGTTCAAAGATTTCGTTACATACATAATATACGTCTGAAGCTAATAAAAACGTATTAAAAAATCAACTTATTGAGCAGAACCTTAAGATTATTTTTTTGTAATTACCATACACTGTTCATATTGATGTTAGAAGTACAGCATCAATTATGCACACTGTAAATAACAAAACCCGAACGAAGCCAATAAAACGATCAATTTTGTTCTAAATGGGTACATTTGAAATTACATTTCCACTGTCACCAGCAAATTCGTTTACCCATACCGACGTTTGACGTTATATCGAAAATTGAATCAGCGTTCAGTTTAGTCCGACGACCTGACGAATACTGTGGGGCGCCGGTTTTAATGAATTTTAGATCGATGAAGCAAAACGAAGGGGTTTTTTTAATTTGCGAAAAAATTGGTTAAAAGTTTTTTTTTTATTGCTTAGATGGGTGGACGAGCTCACAGCCCACCTGATGTTAAGTGGTTGCTGGACCCCATAGACATCCACAACGTAAATGCGCACCCACCTTGAGATATAAGTTCTAAGGACTCAGTACAGTTACAACGGCTGCCCCACCCTTCAAACCGAAACGCATTACTGCTTCACGGCAGAAATAGGCGGGGCGGTGGTACCTACCCGTGCGGACTCACAAGAGGTCCTACCACCAGTAAAAAGTAATATACCAGTAAAGTATAAACGCGTTGTCTTCAAATATTGACGGATTAGTAAGGTCTCGTTTCTCAAGGTACTAGTTTATACACTATGCGTGATACACATGGGCTTTAGTGCCTATTCATTAAGGGTGACATTGGCTTTTTCTTTGGGCTGTGTCCAGAACGTCATACAAGGTGTCCAAACAACTCCCCTTGTATTCTTTCACCAGATGTCCGATTTACGCTCGGGATTAGAATCCGGTCAGATTAGGGGGTAGCCGCGGTCAACAATACAGTCAGACTCGCGGCGCTACCCGTAATGCCGAGTTTACATTACGAAATTAGTGTCATGCATGTTGAGCTCAGTTTCACGAAAGTAGTTTCGATATATGCGAAAGTAATTTCGTTAAAAAATTAGTGTCGCGAAAGCCACAGTATCGCAGTAACCATGGCGCCTTCAGCAGCAAAGCTATAATTTGCTATATTCAATGTAGCTAAAGAAATGCTTATATACCTATAAACTTAAAAAAAGACTNTTTGCTATATTCAATGTAGCTAAAGAAATGCTTATATACCTATAAACTTAAAAAAAGACTATCAAGAAAAAAAAAAGTTGGTAGATTCGAGGATGGTCAACAAGAAGGCATTTAGGTGCAATGAAGTTAGTCTCTGAATTAGCAGATGAAGATCCTGAGAGTTATAAAAACTATTTTCGAATGAGTGAAGATAATTTTGATTTTTTACTATAGGTGTTTCGGGACCCTTCTCATTAATATTCATTAATAAGATCTATATTTTTTTCTGTACTCCATCATTGGTTTGCCATTTTCAACGCTTGAAGCGCGTCCGAACTAACAATACACACGTCCGCAAAGCGCAGGCCCTTTCGCGTCGCGTCTACACTATGAAATTAGTTGCATGACACTAATTTCACCAAAAAATCGCGCAGGGCACGAAACTAATTTACATGCATGAAATTAATGCAAGCATTACGAAAGTATTAAATTACACGTGAAACTGTTGGTAAAACTAATGTCACGAAATTAATTTCACGCCACTAATTTCGTAATGTAAATTCGGCTTAAGAGGCCCTGTAACCTTCACCAGGGAGTAGGTTGTCTCCTACAGGGCCCGGAGGCGGGCCCCCCGGCCACAAGCGGTGACGGATTGGTGCGAAGAGGGCTGAGCTCTGCCTCTCTCGTTCCACCGTCTCCTTCTACGAGATAGTGAACTCGTAGAAGTCAAACATTGCCTTGTCAATGGCATATTTCCCTTCAAAATAAAAAAAAAATTAAGAACGGATTTTACTACAAATATAACTGGTACATTACTGGCTTTTCGTAAGTTACAACATTAATTGCAGATAAATAATGCATATAATACACTTAAATGGATTACTCATGAAACAGATATCAAGAAGTTCTTGAGACATGAGTTCTAAAGTCTCCATTTTTACTGTATACTCATGTTAATAAATAGAAAACTGGAACAAGCGTAGAATAGGTGTTATTTCAGTCTTAATCATACGATGACAACAAAATATATTATATACTATATTATATTATATACCCGGCAGACTTCGTAGTGCCTTAAAAATACCTAAACATTTGTATAAAATAAACTTAAAACAAACAAAAGGAATCCATCGAAGGACACATCAAAGGGAAAACAAAATGGTTATTTTTAATTAAATTCCGAGCATTCTCATGTTTATCTACCTTTTAAACCTTCTCTGGACTTCCACAAATAATTCAAGACCAAAATTAGCTAAATCGGTCCAGCCGTTCTCGAGTTTTAGCGAGACTAACGAACAGCAATTCATTTTTATATATAGAGATTTCTTCTCTAACAAAAAAATGATATCATACTCGTATATCAAGTGCTGTTTTCGATATAATATCTCTTTATTAGATTGGGAGAAATCATAAGCACTCGATTTATTAATAACGTCTGCCGTAATGAACATTGATAAAAAAAAACTTATTTCATATTTTATTATTACCGATCTGTTGACATGTTTTGTTCATATTGAATTATTTAGTTTCCATTTTTTACACTCTTTGTATTTTTTTTACGAAAGCTAATTTGTTCGCTGTAAACAAGCAATTTAATTAATAAATCTCATTTTCCGTAACTTTGAATAAATTTCAGAACTTTAGCAAACAAGCGAAGGCTCAAACTTCATGTTGAAATGTTGTTCAAATTATTCAACCTCATTAATTATAATCGAATATTGAAATTGCTAATTAAGTAAATTTAAAATTAATAACCGTGTACTTATTGAAAGTTAACTTTTGCGTTACGCAAACTTTAATTAGAAAATCAGGTTGTGTTTATTGGCTCTGACATAGATATGTAAACCCCACAAATAATTTGTAAAATAGCTTAGCAATAAGTGTAAAAATTTTATTGTTAAGACCCTAGTCTTGACCATAGACTACTAATGTTACAAAAGATCTATTGGGCTATAAAATTAAGCAATCAAGTCTTAAGGTTCAAATTTCAAATTACGTGACGCTATTCGCGCTGTGATTTTGATCCCGTTGATGAATCTGTGAAGTATCTATATTAGCACCAATTAAAATTGGAAATTATGATATCGTGGATATTCCACCTTTAATATTGTTACGCGCTGAGGGTTTGGGATAAATAAAATTTCACCAAAGTACAACTTAAAAACTGTATTCAACACTTAAAACACTTTTAAACTCTCAATTCGCTTGTTTCGCTTCGCTTCAAGTGATCCGTTCGCTGTTTCGCTTCGAGTAGTTCCGATTACTGACTGACTGCGTGCCATCCCTACAACGCTTTTATAGCCGATACCTCATCCTTAGAATTATCTAGAATATTCCACACCTCTAGTCGTAGTTTCCGCTATCTGTCAATAGATGGCCTTGTAATTCTCGAGTAATCTGGGTCCTTCGATATTCGTTCGACTATTCGGCGCTAGATGGCGTTACTCTTACCGGCGTAACAATATTATTTATTTATTTATTTATAATATTGTGAATTAATTAAGCAAATTAACACCCGTCACGTTTCCATCCAATGAAATTCACATTTTATTTTAATTCCAGGAGTTATGAATGCGGCTGATTACTACGGCTTGGATGAGCTGCGACGAGCTTGCGCTGGTTTCGTACAATGCTGTATCACCGTGGATACTGTATGCGCATTACTAGCTTCAGCCGAGCGTTACATACAATATAAGTGCACGAAGTCGCTGGTGCAGAAGGTAAGTTTTACTCATGGTAGGACATTTACTGGCGGCAGGACCTCTTGTGAGTCCGCACGGGTAGGTACCACCCGCCTATTTCTGCCGTGAAGCAGTTATGCGTTTCGGTTTGAAGGGTAGGGCAGCCGTTGTAGCTATACTGAGACCTTAGAACTTATATCTCAAGGTGGGTGGCACATTTACGTTGGAGCGTTCTATGGGCTCCAGCAACCACTTAACACCTGGTGGGCTGTGAGATCGTCCACCCGTCTAAGCAATAAAATATAATAATAATAATAATAAATTCAGTGCTAATGCTTCTTAGTCAGATCTATATTTCCTAGTCATCGCTACCATTTGTGCAGATTTAACTGATTTCAATAATTTCGTTTATTTTATAAAATTTATGTTGTTTTCTGTTATAGTATATTTAGGAATCTCAGAAGTAATTACTATTTTGTATTCACAAGATTTTATATAGAATCTGTTTTCAAAATCGGTACTAAGTTCGTGATTATTACTAAGCTATAGTTTCTGGTTTGATATCCGCTTCTATTTAATACGATTGAGACATCGATGCTAAGTTTGGTCACGAAGCTTTACAAAAGCTCTTCATTAAGTATTCATATCAAATCTATACTAATATATAAATCTACAGTGTTTTTTAAGGATGTTCCGTTATAACTACTAAACCATGCATTCGATTGACTTGAAACTTGGTATACGTGTAGGAAATACATGTACTTAATGTATAGGTCAATATTTATATGAGTGTTGGACTCCCTAATAATATTGACAATAAATAATAATGTTAATTTTAAATGCCCAGCGAAGCGGGCGAGTACGGCTAGTCTTCTATACGTTAGTCTCGCTAAAACTCGAGAACGGCTGGACCGATTTCGCTAATTTTGGTCTTAAATTATTTATGGAAGTCCAGAGAAGGTTTAAAAGGTAGATAAATATGAATATGCTCGGAATTAAATAAAAATAACAATTTTGTTTTTCCTTTGATGTGTCCCCCGTCGGTCGGATTCCTTTTGTTTATTTTAAGTTTATTTTTTACAAAAGCTTAGGTCTTTCATTTATCGATTGAGGTACTACGAAGTCTGCCGGGTCAGCTATATTTTATAAAAACTTTAAAGAACGCGATAAAATCGAATGTTAAATGTTTAGGTTCTAGAATTCGTCGATGAGCACGGCAATGAGGTATTAAACTTGGGATCCTTCACGCTTCTTCCTCAACATGTTGTCAGATTGATCCTAGCAAGAGATGAACTCCGAGCGGATGAATTTACCAAATTTCAGGCATGTAATTTTTTATAAAGAAATTTCAATACTTATTTTCATTAAATTTTTGTATACGGGTTGCTTATAAACGTCGGGTATTAAGCAGTTACTGAAAAACTTAACAGTACCATAATGCGAATACCACTAAACTTGCTTAATATTTTTGACTACACCCACACTCACTCATGCTCAGACTCATTACACACAGAGGGTACATTCATACACTCATTTCTATATTTTCTGTTAATTGTTATATTATTAAACTCACATTTTGTCACTTTTATGCAATCCATGAATTTCAGTTTAATTTTTATCTATTGATGTTGTATTTTTTTTAATTTTTTTTTTTTTACTAACGATCACGCCACGTTAACTGGTCCCGTGATAAGTTCGTAAAGAAGTTGTGTTACAGGTACCAGATAACGGAAATAAATGTAAGATTTTTATTATACACATACATATATTTAATATACATCCATAACCCTGGAAAAGACATTTATATTTATCATACAAATATCTTCCCTTGGCGGGATTCGAACCCGCGACCCCCTTATGTAGTGACCATGTCACTTACCACTACACCAGACAGCCGTTAAGGTTGATATTTGAAGTAAAGCTGTTGTATTCTTTGTACGAGGAGCACTACTGCTTGAGATACAGGTTTTATCACCTAGTTCAAGCACAGATGCAAATTATGATTGTGTTTCTACTTTTATGTTAACAATAAAAAAAACAATCGCGATTTAAAAAAACACAAATTTAAAATGGCGTTCATAAATTTTCAGGCAGCTCTTATGTGGGGCAAAAAATTTTGCGACACGAACCAAAACACATCATTGAAAGATGTCATTGGGAATTTCTTGGAATACATACAGTTCCATAGAATTCCAGCGAATGTTCTGATGAGGGAAGTGCATCCGCTGGGCTTGGTACCGTATTCCATTATCATGAACGCTTTGGCGTATCAGGTACGATTTTCGATTATACTGATTTGGCTTTTAAAACCAATATAATATTCACCTGCTAGTAGTTTTGCTTCTGGCTGACTTTATGAACTGTTTTAATGATTCACGAATGAACGGCTTCGTAGAATTTCATTTTGTGAACGATTTTTAAAACACTCTTGTTGCAGGCAGACCCCGCTAGCGTAGATCCAGGGAAACTGTCTCCAGCGCGAATTCGACGAGCCGGCCGGTCGATGTCTGTGCAGTCATCAATGGATCCCTACGGGTCCAACACCACCCTCTCCTCCACCGGCTCGAGCGATGTTCCGTCTTCAGACTCTCGGCACAACTAACGCGAGGCGAACCTCCCCCGTCCCGCGCCCGATCCCGTCCCTGGACCTTCCACTGCTCCTCACATTCCTCCACCCACTCCTTTACCGGCGCCGGAAAAAATGCCGGAGAAATTTGGACTATTCTCCTCTATAAAGCGCGCAGCTAGTAAAAAGTTCGGTGATCGTCGTTCACCAACGCCGAAAACTCGAGAGCCACGCTCTAAGTCGGACTCTATTAAGCATGCCGCGTTAACGAGACAAGTGTCGGAAACTGTAGGTGCATCCGGCGATGCGACTTTCGAACGGTGCCGGCCAAAAAAGCGTGATAGTGATACAGAATTTCCTGTTCGCAAGTCTACCTCTGAACTATCGGAAAGTTTTCCGTTCGTGCGACGTGCTTTAGCTGAAATCGAAAACGGACTAAATTACTTCAGGAGATCAATTACATCCGATAGTACTGAATCTAAGCAACCATTAGCTAGGACGGAGCCAGTAGTCGTGGTTGCAGCTGCCGAAGATGATACTCCAGCTTCGCCACCTCCTCCAATGGGATTAAAAGAGCGTCGTGGTTCAAGAGGATCTCCGTGTGCCAATCTTCCACCATTGATGTTACCTCCGAGCTCACCAGATCCTTCGCCAGGTCGTTTGTCACCGAATCGTTTGTCTCCGCAGAGGCCCAAGGAGCCCTTATCGGCACCTATTGCTCGCAACCCACCGAGACGTGTGAGAACCCGTTCGGAAGTTCCTCCTGAACCACCACCGCGATCTCCACCGACACCCAGACCAGCATCGGTGTCTCCAAAACACACGTTCACTTTCAAGATAGTACTTAAAAAAGTAGAAAGTACACCGAATACTTCGTTCGATAAACCCGAACAATGAGAGTACCTCCTCTAAGCGCGGCCGTTGTAATGCGGTGGAGTACTCGAGGTAAATAACGCGCTTCCTCCATTTTATAGAAGAGCTAGTATATTATATATAGTTAGCACCGAATGGAGTACATATTATTAATATAATATGTACTCCTGATATATATTGAATGGATTACCGAATGTTTTTTGTCGTATTCTGATGAATACAAGGGCTGGATCCCTTTAAATAGTGTGTATATCGATATGGTTTGTCAAGTGAGCAAATGATGTCGTTGATGTTTGATTAACTAAATTACTTATTACTTAAGTGATGTGGCGTTACACTGTTACTGGTTTTCCAAAACGTGAGAATCCTTCCCTTATCTTATTCTATAAGCTTCACAACTTAAAATGAAAGTAAATATTTAGTTTGATATGTGCCTCCTACTGTATTACTGTGTATTTTATTAATCTTACTCGTGTAAATTAATATCATATTCAAATCCTAATCTTAAATGTAATTTTGATACAGTAGGTGAAAAGTGAACAGTTTGTTTAAATGTATTTTGGATGTTATACAAGTTGTTCAATGTGAAAGTATTTTTGTAATATTATATTTAACGAAGATGCTTTGTAGTTTTTCAGTAACAATGTTTTCCTCTTTGGTAATAGTTGTATAATTCATTTTCTCGCATTAAAACTGTATAATCTGAAAACTTACTAAATTTTACAGGAGAGTGTTTTAAAGGTTTAACATAATATAATATTTTTAATATTAATCATCTTTGCAACATTTCTTTTTTAGTTTTTACCAGTTACATTATCTGAATTTTAAAGTAAGATAAAGTTATGTATTAATTTTGTTAATAGTAGTCACAAAAAAGGTAAACAAAAAAAATTCAAACTAAACTACGCTCTTTTGACAGTATTTATGAGAAAAATACTGGTGATACCAAATGATTCCGCATATTAACTCGATTTCGAATATTTTTGGAAATTTTACACTTTTAATGCGAAAAGACGAATTTTTAACAGCAAGAGGATTCCAATAAGTTCCAATAAAAATCATATTGGTATTTTAGACATTTGTATTACCCATTTCATTCAGATGAGGAATCATTGTTATTGAAGGCATCTTCGAACCCTTAACCCACATTATCTGTTGTGATGTGCGTGTGTTGAAATGTGTATGGTTATATAATTAAGGTTTCTACGTGTGCAAAAGATGTTTATATTCATAAATGTATTTTAAAAGACTATTTTCATACTATGTCGAATGTTGTGTGTTGCGTTGTTGTTAATTACTCATTGATTTTACGACTTTTAGATGTCTATTATATTAATTGGTCAACACACCTCAATTATTATTATATTAACTTTTGAAAAATTTTAGTCATGTCAATTTTTTTTACAAAAGGTGTCAGAAATATTGTTGGCAGGAAATTCCTTCATAATGCCACCATATATCTATTTATTTAAATTTATATTGAAACCCAAAAGGAAGTTCATTGAATTTTAAATAATTTTTTACACTTATTAGTCCTATCAAGTTAAGGTCCCCTTTGAATTAAAGCCATTGAAGATTGTGAGAAAAATTTCCTAACCTACATCGAAGTGAGTATGAGAATGGTCATAGTATTTAAATATCAATCATAATTTGTAGTATGTAATTTCTTCATGATGTTTTTTTGTATATTATAATGTTTGCTAGTATTACTATAATAATAGTCTTCGAGTTTTTTAAGTGTATCTTTTTCTCTAAGGGTCTGTTGTGTATACGGTTTTTTTTTTTGTAAATGTTATTATGTTTCTAATTAATTCGGTATTTCTACACGAATTGAATACAATTGCTGGCGTAACTGAAACTTCATAAGATTAAATTTCTTAATATTGTTGTATTGTTTAACTTTCTAACATTACGTTGCAACCGTATTATTTTTTTCGATAATATATTCTACTAACTTTGTGTAAATAAAAAGTGGACACAAAATATTGGAACGAAGTTCCTTATGGTACGATGCGGAGGGGTACCCTAACCGGGAAAAAACGTCCGTAGCGTAAGATTTTTATTAGTAATGCACACAGTGTACAACTTAACTTTGTAATAACGTACAAAAATAACATATTTTTTTATCATTCATTGACCACGATCTCAGAGCGTTCGTTTGCGCAATACACTAGATCTTATGCAAATAACCGCGAATGAAGTGTACCACAATAAGTTCGCACGTTACCAAATGACCGTGGGTTGTTGCGAAACCTCCAGTTTTATTTCCTTTATACCTGGAATAAAACTTAAAATAATATATATTTTTTATAATATTGCCTGATTTCCGATACAATAAAACTAACTCCGTTGAATCATGTGTACTGACTTCTAAGCTGGCTTAAAATAACTTTTCAGTGAGCTCTCAAAGGAATAGATACAATTTTTGAACACCATCGTGTGATAAGACTTGAACACTTAAAATCAATAATTCTATGAAATCCACTTAAAAAAGTATCAAAATTAAACACGAATTATGAAGATAATATTAATATGTTTCATTGTTCATAAATTATTTATGATTCATTTCATAATAATGTTAATTTCTTTTGAAGATTTTATTGACAATTGCTATAGGTAAGCTCCTGGTTCCAAAAAATCCTGATTATTAAGATACTTATGTGCATAATATTGCTTTGGTTATAGCATTATTACGAACGCGACAATTTAGCTTATCTGCGTTGATCAGGTTCTCGGCCTGCGAGACTTTTCTAACATCGGCCTTAGCAAAAGCAGTGCTACTTTATTTTTTCCTACCTTATCTGTTTTCCTTAGAGGGCTATGATCGAATATGCAAGCTCACGGGGCTCTAACCTGGTGACGTTGCTAACACTAGCCCTAGCAAGAGCAGTGCTTCGCAGAATCTACCACCGGATCGAAAACGCGATCCACTGAGAAGATCCGGCGAGAAACCTAGTGGGCTGTGTCTTCGCATCTAACGCCGCATCGGAATCGCGACCGAGTATTTTTACAGCGAAGCAGTCTGGTACGACTTAGTAGGTACCTGGTATTGAATAATGAAATAGTCATTACCATTGAAACTTTCTCCATTCATTTTCATCATTATCCTGCCCTTCTCCCAGTCACCTGGTGTCGGCATAACATGTTTTCTCCTTCCATACTCTTCTATCATATACCATTTCTTCGCTCACTCCCCTCTTACCCATATCGTCTTTCACGCAATCCATCCATTTCATCTTAGGTTTACCTTTTTCTCTATATCCTTCCACATTCATAGTTAACATTCTCTTACCAACCTCATTTTCATTTCGTCTCATCACATGAAACTTTCTCCATTGTGATTGTCATATCAATGGGCCCTACTAAACCCTTAATATCAGGTTGGCCATGAGCTTGTAGAAATGAAAGCGTGTCATGGCTTTAGATAATGCTAGAACTTATTAGATTTGATAAACGTAATTAGGGATAAAAAAAATCATTGATGACAATTTGGACTTACGAAGAGAATGGGAAAGTAAATTTTACAGAAAAATTAATGAATTTTTAAAGGAAAATAATTTATACTTTCGCTTAAACGATTTCAATTAAATGAAAGCGGAGTCTCTGTTATTTTTCTTTTTCTTTCGTACTAATTATAAGGAAACCCTCTTGTAGGTTTCATTTTTTGGATATTTTTTCTTTCCTAAAATAAAATTTTCTTTCATATGCCGTATTATATCTATTTTTGAGAACACTTTTATTAAAACTAATAAGGCGAATTATTACACTTTACAATCATTTTATTATATACATATAATAGCTTAATCAGATACATATTATTATATAAATATATTTTTTATATGTAATTAAAAAAAACACTAACATAAAACTTGTTCTTCCTTTTACTTTAAAATACTTATATCTATATAAATATAAAAAGTCTGTTGTTCTATTTGGACATAGCAATTTATTTCTGTAATGTGAAAATAATTGATTCTTTATTTCTGAGATGCTTAAATGAGTTCACCGCCCACATAGCTTTATGTGTTCACCCGAGCATATTATAGATACCTTCATTTGAAAGCTTCGAGAGAATGTTTGAAACAATAAAAGCATTTCTGAAAGCGTAAGTATATTTAAATCAATGGCGTAAGTACAATAAAATCGTTTAAAAACGTAATCATAGTGTTTTCCTTATTTCCTTTGGATATATATCCAACTATGTCCAGCAGTGGGCAGATAAAGGCTGATGATGATGATGATGATGATATATCCAACTCGACATGAGAATAGTATGGAATAAATATATATAAAAATGAATTGCTGTTCCGAACGGTTGGACCGATTTGGCTAATTTTGGTCTTGAATTATTTGTGGAAGTCCAGAAAAGGTTTAAAAGGTAGATAAATATGAAAATGATCGGAATTAAATAAAAATAACAATTTTATTTTTCCTTTGATGTGTCCCCCCCCCGTCTGACGGATTCCTTTGGTTTGTTTGAAGTTTATTTTATACAATAGTTTAGATTTTTTATTTATCGATTGAGACACTACAAAGTCTACCGGGTCAGCTAGTACTAAATAAAAGAATCCCACAAAAATTGCGGATTTATGGGTCAGTAGGTATTGTGAGCCCACACGAGTAGGTACTACAATCCGGTGTATTTCTGCAGCGAAGCAAACATATGTAGCGATTTAAAAGGTGGGCTAGCCGTGAGACAATAAATACCCTATGAACTATGGTATATATTGACTTTGATTCTATTATTTGCGTACGCACGAAAATCATCTGATGTAGTTAAAACTTCGCGGCCGTTTTAATTTCAAAGAAGGCTCCTAGGCATAGCGTCTATTATCAATATACGGTATCGATGAATGCGTAAACAGTAAATTATAATGCTTCCAAACAGGCTTCAGAGGTCAAGTTATTAATATAAGTCGGGGAGCGGTTGATGCAGGCACTAGTAGGTCAGCTATGAATAAAAAATGGACATTAATGATAGCGTATGTTGATTTTGTGTTTCGAAACTCCTTACATTTTGTTTGACTTTCATACAATGTTTAGAATGTTAAATACGCCATTTTTGTTGTAATTATTTATTTTTCATTCCTACACATAAATAAATGGATTGAGGTCGGTTATGTTTGACTACCCTAGTTTTTTTTATTGCTTCGATGGGTGAACGAGCTCACATCCCTCCTGGTGTTAAGTACCAATTTTTCTAATGAAATACGTACTTAACAAATGTTCACGATTGACTTCCATGGTGAAGGAATAACATCGTGTAATAAAAATCAAACCCGCAAAGGTATAATTTGCGTAATTACTTGTGGTAGGACCTCTTGTGAGTCCGCATGGGTAGGTACCCCCACCCCGCCTATTTCTGCTGTGAAGCAGTAATGCGTTTTGGTTTGAAGGGTGGGGCAGCCGTTTGTAAATATACTGAAACCATAGAACTCATATCTCAAGGTAGGTGGCGGCATTTACGTTGTAGATGTCTATGGGCTGCAGTAACCACCTAACATCAGGTGGGCTGTGAGCTTATCCACCCATCTAAGCAATAAAAAAAACAATATGTAATATATGTGCTCTATAAGGAAAATATTACATAAATTATTTGCTATGTGTACCATAACAGCACATGATATAACATGCATGTATATAGTTACTTAAATACAAAATATAGTCTATTTACAAACAAACCCTTGCTTGCTTTGAAAACATAAAAGAGCAACCCTAACATCAAAGGGATATCGTAAATATTTGTAAAGGAAATGTATCGGAAAAATATACAGTGGAAATGGAGCTCTATGATTTACCGTCCTTAATGATCCTAAGGCTTTATTTCTTGAAGTTAATATGTAATCTTATATTTTAGTTAGATTCTACTGAGGAGGAGAGAGTATTTGAAAATCGTGCAGTAGTCATTATCGATGGTGCTTAACGCCGGAAGATCTTGTAAGATCGAACGAATTAGGCATATGAAAGACACTTTTTTTAATAGTGGCTAGGTAAAATGTGACACTACACAGGTAGGTGTTACTTGTGATGTCACGTCAGTCACGGAAGGTTACATATGAAAGATACTTCTTTAAATGGTGGCTAGGTGAAATGTGACACTACACAGGAAAGTGTTACTTGTGATGTCACGTCAGTCACGGAAGGCTACATATGAAAGATGCTTCTTTTAATGGTGGCTAGGTGAAATGTGACACTACACAGGAAAGTGTTACTGGTGATGTCACGTCAGTCACGGATGGTTGTGATAATCACGAATCTACTTAACATCAATTGGGTCAAAAACTTTATCAGCCAAGACAGAAAACACTACAAGTACAAAAGTTTAGCGAAATTGAACCAACCCTATCGGTTTGATAATAAAAAGTAAATTTATGAGCTACAAACAAATCTGTTGTTTCGCTACATTAATTTGAACGTGAATATTGCATGAAAACCTTTTAAATTCAATATTTAGTTTCCATTCGATATAGCCTTAATTACAATTAAATTGAACATCAGCTACCTGTGTTTGGCGTTTTAATTTTCTCATTTCCGCTTCATTTATTAACACGAAGCATGTTTTTGTATTGCCAGAAGACAACATGTTTTTAAAAATTTCATTCTTTATTCTTTTTTTGTACACACAGTTAATATAATACAGTGATTGCGATAAGATATAAAATAGGCGAGCTTAACTCAACAATTGAGTTATCTACCAGCTAACCGTTCTTAAAGAAGGAAAGCTTTACATGAGTGGGTTGATGAGTACAATCTAATTAATTTAATTATTGTTACTATAATAATAATAATAATAATAATAATAAAGCTTTATTTAATTCCATGCATAGTACACATTAAACGATAACAATTGGTAAATTTTTAATGCTTAATTATAAATTTTTGGAGTTTGATTATTATTTGTTTTAATTTTCCATTACCTAATTATTCAATGCATGGACCCCGTTCGGGTAAAAGCCTCCCCCAAGGAATGCCATCCTTCTCTGTCCTTAGTTCTGTACATAGAGTCTTTTTATTTGGCCAATGTAGTAGAAGGTATATTCGTCGTCTTTGATTATCTGTTCTCCTAGGCGGCGAACTTCGCTCAAACCTATTATATCATGCTTAATATCTTCTAGTGCAGCTTCGAGCTCAACAGAAGACAATGATCTTACGTTGAGGGTGCAAATGTATGCGGCATTTTTCATTTTGACAATTGTTCTTGGGGGGTTTTGGTCGAACTCTCCCGCGGTGACCGGCCGTATTGGGAGATTATGGGTTGGAGGAGGGTCCGATTTTGATTGCTATGCTGTGTTGTAGTCTGATGACTTCGATTGGCGTTGGGTTGATTCTGTCTGAGCGCGAATTAGTTTGGGCTTTTGTATTATATAATTCTTCATGTCCCCTTTATTTTTCTTAGGTGGTTGTTTGCTAGTCTGTTGAACATATTGATTGGCTGGGTGGAGCGTCTCTGGGGACTCTGATAGGTTTCTTTTACTTGACTGTTTCTGTGTGGGTTTTTTGTTGCTCAGTATAATAATTTTGTCGTATTTTATAAAGGCGGTATTTCCTGCATCTTTTTCTTTCTGTAGTTGGACTTGTAGCTCTTTACGCTTTATTAAGACTTCGATTGGGTAGTCTTCTTTTAAATAATAGGAAGTATTTTGAAGATTGTATTTTTTTTTTTGTATTTTTAATTTGAAACCTAAAGTGTTAAATGTTATTGCTATCGGTCGAACTTTTTCACCCTTTTTCCCCACCCTTCTAACAGCTTCTATGTTGTAAGTGTTGCATGAAACTTTTATGTGTGTATTTATTATATTTATTACAATTTTTTCCAGTTCATCGTACGACTTTTCTATTTCTTCTACGTCAAAAAAGATTAGATTTCTGCGTCTACACTGTCTTTCTAGGTTGTTAATTTTAATTGATTGCTCTTCTATTTTTTTCTCCAAAAGCTCATTTTTCAGTTCTAGGTTATTGAACTTCGCGTTAAGGCTGTTGATTATTGTGCTTTTAATATCTTCTTTCATCTTAAGCATGTCCTGTTGTTGCTGCTTGATATCTTGTTGTTGATTGTTACTATAGTCAATAACAATAAAAATAATAAAAATAAACACTAATTCATAATATATCAAACTATATACATACACAATTACACACATAAATAACATAAACATATACATGCACGTGCATATATAAAGAAATAAATAAAATAAATACATATAAGTAATACTAAATTGATAGATAGTGCTCCTTTAATGCCTTCCTGAATACTTCAAGTGAGTCATTTTTGATAACTTATTTTTGATGGTTATAAAGTTGAGCTCACCTAGCTGGTCTTGTGGTTGATGGCCTTATAGTACTAGGTTCGGATTGCATTACCGACCACATTCGATATCTATATTTTAGCTATTATTTGAGATCTGGCTTCATAATATCTGGTATAAACATAATTGACAGACATAAGGTAGCTGAAAACTTAACCTTTGTATCGTTGAATACTGATCTTATTATCAAAATCCTAAGAGATAGAGCTCTAACGATTTTAAAGATAACGATTTGAATGTCAAAACTTTATGTCTCAAAGGTGATGATGAGGTCAAAATTTTTAGTATACCTAACTGCTGTCCCTTTCATAAAATCGGGACGCATTAATGCTTTACGTCAGAAATAGTTCGGGGATTGTACCCGGGCGGACTTCTAAGACACCACTCACCACAATCCAAGATACAGTTTATTCATACATTATCTTATTATTTGTTTTATATTATATTTTATTTTATATATTATTTCGTCATCGTGGAGGTCAATTGTGAACAATTTTGTTAAAGACGTATTTTATTTAAAAAATTAGTACATGCACGATTCCATTAACAACATAGCCACCTCACTCGGTTTCAATATTTTTTTGGAAGGAGCTCATGCATTTTTTTATTATTGCTTAGGTAGGTGGACGATCTCACAGCCCACCTGATGTTAAGTGGTCGCCGGAGCTCATAGACATCTACAACGTAAAATGCCGTCACCTACCTTGAGATATGAGTTTGAAGGTCTCCGTTTTTACAGTACAACGGCTGCCCTACCCTTCAACCGAAACGCATTACTGCGTCACGGCAGAGATAGCCAGGGTGGTGGTACCTACCCGTGCGGACTCACAAGACATCCTACCACCAGTAATTACTCAAATTATAACTTTGCAGGTTTGATTTTTATTATACGAAGTTATTATTCTTTCATCGTGGAAGTCAATTTGTTAAGTACGTTTTTGATCAGAAAAATTGGGATGTGCCAGCGGGATTCGAACATCGGTGCATTGCTAGATATCATTCTAAATTCAAGGCCACCTGTCTGGTCATCTACCTGTTTCTGTCACGAAGCAGTCATGTATGCGAAGGTGCGGTAGCCGTTATAATATTGATTCTCTTCAAAATAATTTGGAACTCTCGTTGTCACCAACAATCAATCATCATGAAAATAAACAGACCGTAAACATGACCCAATACACCACAAGCCTGTGAAAACCTAAGAAAATAAAACACTCGGTATATACAAAAAATATATCTCCGAGATCCAAATCGTTTCTTATATTCGGTTACATTTTTAGGTCACTTTGTTTTCCCAGCAATGGCCGACGGGTGAAGCGCCCTCGACAGTGCTAACGAGGCACCCCTAAAATGAAAAACCACTCCTCTGTGTGTTCCACAAGAACTTGCTTCTGTTTTGAATAAGTTTCGAAAACAATTTCCTCGTTCGAAATGTAATATCGTCCTTAGAGATTCGGGAAGTTGTTTTCAGAGTTAGTCTCGTTGCTTTCAGGCCCTGGGACACATTTGAAAGTATTTACGTGTTCAAAGTTTTGATGCTGTCGTATTTCAGTGTTGTCTGATAAAAATGATTTCGGTTTTTTTTTTGTAATCTTAGTATTGACATTAAGCCGAAAATTAAAAATCACTTGTTATTGTGTATAAGACTAGCTTTTGCCCGCGACTTCGTCCGCATGGAATAGTTCTCAAATAATGCTTTATTTTAGAACAAATTTGTATAACATAAAAACGTTATAGTGAGCCAACCCTGATATATAGACATGTGCTTTCGCAGATTTCTTTTAGTTCTTTTAAAGGGGAATAATATTCTCATACATTACTTTAGCCAAAACTTTAACCGTTTCCGCAGCGCACGCAGTGGAAGCTCTCAAAAGGGATTAAAACCCCGATTTTGAAACATTTTTTATTGGTGCTCCGCTTGCATTGGTCTTTGCGTGATGTTATATAGCCTATATATAGCCTTTCTCGACAAATGGGCTATCTAATACAGAAAGAATTTTTCAAATCAGACCAGTAGTTCCTGAGATTAGCGCGTTCAAACAAACATACTCTTCAGCTTTATAATATTAGTATAGATTTAAGGTAAAAAATATTACAAGCTAGCTGACCCGGCAGACTTCGTAATGCCTCAATCGATAAATAAAAGACCTAAACTTTTGTATAAAACAAACTTAAAGCAAAAAGGAATCCGTCCGACGGAGTACACATCAAAGGAAGAACAAAATCGTTATTTTTATTTAATTCCGAGATTTTTCATATTTATCTACCTTTTAAACCTTCTCTGGACTTCCACAAATCATTCAACACCAAAATTAGCCAAATTGGTCCAGCCGTTCTCGAGTTTTAGCGAGACTAACGAACAGCAATTCATTTTTATATGTCAGGTCATAAATTCTGTCACATGTTTAATGTAAAATAATTGAAACAAGTTTATTCATTATGTAACCATTCATATACCAAAATGAACTTAACAAAACATAGATTCTTGTGACACTAAAGTTTATTCAAAATGACCTCCGTGATTTTGAATACAGGCCTTCAATCTGCGCGGCCAGTCGTCTATCGCAGCACGAACGAG